GTGGGCTGTATCTGGCCTGCCAGTTGATCCTATCTGGTCCACTGGCCACCTGAGAAATGTGCCAGGAGAATGAGGAAGGAGGTCTGTGCACTGCACAGCTCCACTCTGCTGCAGCTGGGGTTGGACTAGGCTGCAACTTTGATACCCCTCCTAAGTTGGTGCCTAGGCTTGGTGCCCATCTCACCCACTCCTAGTTATGCTACTGGTTTATGTGGGATGTTAAAGTCAATGGTTGCAAACCATTTAGGAATGATCAAATGAGAAAAAAAGTGAAAAAATGGTATTACTTGTTTCTGAATAACTAGTAACTCACAATATGAATTTTGAATGGTTATTCATCAGTGTCCTAACAGATAAAGCCTCCAGCTGGCCCTCGTATGCCTAGATCAGGGAAAGCCACCTCTCTGCACCAATCTTTTGTGCCATCCTCCCCATGGATCTGGAAATCTGGCAGAAGGGCAGTAGCAATTGCTGCCACTGCTCCCCTGCTACCAGATTTTTGGACCTGAGGGCCACATGGCTAGGTACTGAGCATCGTGAGTTAATAGCAAGCATGATTATTTAAAGTGCGAATACATCAAGTCAGTGTACTAACATATTACTGTATGCTCTGGAAGCAGCTGTGCTAAGTGAAACTGGCATCTAAAGGCAGGAGATATGAGAATTCTTTGAAAGATGGTACATCTTAAGTGGAATGATTTTAAGGTAAATGAGAAATTTAGGAAGAGAGTGTAATGTGAAATCTTGGTACGGGGTCAGGAACAGACAGAAAAATTGTGGAAACTCTGCACAAGGCAAACAGATGATAGACTGATAAAGAAAGTCATTCTGACCTTGAGGTTTATCAGTGACTACATGGCTGGCCATTTTAAGCAGAGATCTAAGTAGGTTGGTTATAACAGAAGAATAAGCGTGATGGGAGAACATTTTTAGGGAGGAATGAAGGGTGCTTCCTGCATCTAAAAAGGTGCTTCAGGATGTGGAGGAGGTGCTTGAAGCTGAAAACAATTATGAATCAACTAAGATGAGAAGAGGCCTTTAAATAGAAAAGTATGTGTGGCAATTGGGATCTGTTTATGAACATCATATTAGACGCCCAGAATATCATCAATGAGAGGGAAAAAACCCCCACACTGACTAGAAAAAACAGCTCTGCTTTGAAGAGAAGTGGAAGCAGCCAAAAATTAACGAATGGAAAATGGATGTTTGATTGCGATGAATATGTATTAAAAGCTAGGAATTTAAAAAAAATTGGTAAAGGGAACCAAAGGATACAAAATGTCCAGCAGTGTTTAAAGATGGTATGAAAGAAGGTGATATATATGAACCTTCTTTTCCCCCTAGCCATGGTTTTTGTCTTTGGTTAGACAAAGTTGTATAATTGTCAGTAATAATACAAAGAAGACAGAAGTACACAGTGAGTATTTCTGTTCTCTGTGCGGGGTGGGTGAGGCAGAGGAGGTAGCTAGACAAAGTATTCCCATCAGATGGTGCTGTTGATGAAAACATGTTCTAACGGTAACTAATGAGATGGGAAATGACCACTGAAGATAGATACTTCAAACCAGGAGGTCTGAACAACTTTGCACCAGATGTTTTAAAAGGGCTGGTCAGAGAGTTCTCTTGGCTGTTAATGTTGATTTTTCAATAAGTCTTTGAAAACGAGACATTCCAGAGGACCAGGAAAAAGCTATTGTATTGGTGTTTAAATATATCAAATAGGTGAATGGGATAATCCAGGTAATTATAGGCCTGTCAGCCTGTTATCAGTCCTGGGCAAAATGATGCAACTGGTGTTTAAAGGCTCAGTTATTAAAGAATTAAAGAGGGGTAATGCCAATTAATATGGGGTTATACAAAATTGTTCTTGTCCAACTATCTTGGTTTGTCTTAAGGTATTTAGTTTGGTACTGCGTAGTATTTCCATTAAGAAACTATAATGTTACAAAGTCAACCAATTAAATATAGAGTTTTAGTAGAGTTCCACAGGGATTGATTTATGTGAGATTAACCTTGTAATCTTGGTTCTTACCTCCTTTCATTCTTGTTTTGTGTGCTTGTAGCTATCTCTTCTGAGTTGTATTAAAACATGATTACTTGCCTTTCTGAACAGAAACCATATGTTTACTTCTTTTGGGTGGCATCAAGCACATTTTGTATACCATAATAATAATAAAAGCAAGAATAACATATGCTCTAAATATTTTAGAAATACAATATCAGGAAGTTAGGCCAAAACTGTTTTTAAAAATGAAGCTAATTTTAGGTTAGCAAAACACATTTTTGTCATGCTCACTCTGCAAAATGTATTCATTAGAAATAACAAGAAAATGCAACCCACATTCAGTTAATAAAAAGATGTGAGGGCTAAAAATGGAAGTAAATTGAAAGGTAGGAGTATGCTTATGGCCTCACTGAATTATTTTAATTTCTTCCTATTAAAAAAAAAAAAAAAAAACCCCATGTAGCTTTAGGTAGTCATTATTAAGCCCTTTTATGGTATTATTTGAAGCATAGATTTTGAAGGGCAAGATACTGTATTTAGGTTCAACACCCACTTCTTAGCTTTTCGCACATGATAATTCTTATCAGTTTTTAATGACAATTTTCAGTGTATTAGATGATTGACATCATCATGTCAAAGTAATGAGACATACTATCATATAAAGAAACCGCAATGATGTAAAAATGATGGTAAAAACATTAATGCAAACCTAGTAGACCACATTATACAATCAGAAGGAAAGGTTGTGAACCTAAGGCAGTATTAACCGTGTGAAATAAAAGGCAAAATTGCTTCATTGTATATGCAGAGTGTGCAGTTCAGAGCACAATCCTTAGCATTAAATCTTTGTGACTACTCACTTGAATTAGGGGCAGTAGAATAGGGCAACATGAAAGAAATTGTACGCTGCTGGTCAAAGCAGCTTCTCTGAAAATGGTAAAAGCTAGACCTGGAAGTGGCTGTTTTGTAAAAATGTAGTCTGAGGGCTTTGTTGGAAGAGGCTGAAGTTGGCACAAAGTGCAGGTGCCCACTTCATCTATGGGATAGTTGATTAGCTTCAAATTAACTTTGTGCTCCAGTCTCCTTTTTAGCTTTCAGTTTTCTTCTGCAGTTATTTTAAAGCATTAATGCTAACATTCAACAGCCACTAATGCTGTGAAATTCAGCTATGCTTTGCTTCTTTAGCACAACACAGACCACAAAGCCCAAAGGCAAATGAAGGAACCAAGGCACAGACAGAGGTGTATCTCCTGGGTCTAACTCATAGCGCTTTGCAGAAAGTGCCATGAAGTAGATCAATCCTCCTGACCCAAAAGTTGTTGGTTGTTGGGTCGGGAGGGTGGGTCGTCAGGCTCCAGTTTGCAGCCCATCCAGAGAGAAGCTGCGTTTCTGCAGCCTCTTCCCCAAGCTCTGCCCCCCCGCCTCTGTTCTGTCTCAGGATGGGAGGGGGAGAAGACGGGGGGGAGGTCTGTTATGGGATTTCCCCAGCTGCACTTGCACTGGGGGCTGGGTTGAAGCCCTCCACCTTGGGGAGGCTCCAGTCCACCCACCACAACCTTCAGCATTGACTGGGCAAACACCAGGATGAGCTCCCTTCATTCCCTTTCCCCCACTCCCGTTCTGAAAACAGTGCCAGGAGCAGTGCTGGGCTGCATCAGCCAGGCCCTGCTCCACTTTGGCAGACATGGGCCTTTTTAAAATGCTCTGCAGCCATGCAGTTTTCTTTGGTCATGGCTGTAGAGCACGTCCAGAAGCCAGATTGGGTGAAAACTTTCATTTCTGTATGCACTTTAAGTGTTCTTACCTGAAATGGATCTTGCTGTGGAATGCACTACCACAGGAAATTAGATGGTTCCTATCATAAACATATCTGGAGTACTGTGTCCAGTTTTGGGATCCCCTGTACAGAAAGGACGTAGACAAATGAGAGAGAGTCTAGTGGAGGGTAGCAAAAATGGTTAGGGGACTGGGGCACATGACTTCTGAGTTGAAGCTGAGGGAATGGGGCTTATGTAGTCTGGAGAAGAGAAGACAGAGGGGATTGAATAGCAGCCTTCAACTACCTGAAGGGTGGTTTTGAAGAGGCTGGAGCTGGACTGTTCTCAGTGGTGACAGATGACAGAACAAGAAGCAATGGTCTCAAGTTGCAACAAGGGAAGTTTAGGTTAGATAGTAGGAAAAACTTTGTCACTAAGAGGGTAGCAAAAGACTGGAACAGGTTACCTAGAAAGGTTCTGGGATCTCCATCCTTGGAGTTTAAGACCCGGTTAGACAAGTCTTTGCTGGGATGATCTAGCTCAGGGGTGGCCCTGCTTTGAGCAGGGGCTTGAACTATATGACCTCCTGAGGTCCCTTCCAACCCTAATTTTCTATGATTCTGTGATAATACCTTTAGGAAATGCTGCACCACCATTCGTTTTGGTCAAACATATCCACTATAATCAAAATGGTAATTCCACAGTCTGCCTGCCCTAGTTCTAATGCCTTGGTTCCAAAAAAAAAAAAAAAAAAAAAGGATAAATTCTCCAGGCAGTTTCTATAACCTAGAATTAGAAGAGTCAGAGACTCTTTGAAGTCTCCTAAGTATTTTGCTATTGCCAGTCCCTGTCCTGTATTTCTTTAGCAAATATTATGTTTGATGTTTAATAGAATTTTTGCATTAAAAGTAGTGTATCATTAATCTTTTTTAAGCAAACAATTTTTCTAAGCAATGCATAGTCTGTGATTTTTTCAGATAAGTCAGTTGCTAAACTAATAATTTTATCCTATAGCATTTAATCTTTTTATTGAAGTAGAAACATATTCATTATAATATGAACCAATCTATCACCTCAGAAATGATCAGAATAAATTATGCTCATTGCATACCACCCATGCTTAAATCAAGTGTTTGGTTGCATTTTATATAAGTTCCTAGCCGTAATTTTTCTCAGTGTCTATTATAAAAAGACTTTTCATGTATTATAATGTATTAATATTTTATTTTATTTTCTAGGACTATCATGAAAGAGAGTGGTTTTGCAAGGTATCTTCACTCAGCTGTTCTCATCAGTGGAGCTATGCTCATTTTTGGAGGAAACACCCACAATGACACTTCTTTGAGTAATGGCGCAAAGTGCTTTTCTGCTGACTTTCTGGCATATGACATAGGTAAGCACTCTACCTAAGAGTGTTTGATCAATTGAGGTTTAAACTTCACAGACTTGATTTATGAAGCAGAATGGATATCTTCATTAAGAATCTCAACAACAAAAACATTTGAAAAATGAAATTTAAAAGTTTTTCTTATCATGTGTGATGAAACTCATTTGTTTTTTTGCAGTGACACTTCTGTCCCTTCCTTGTTTAAAGTACAAGCTAAAGATTAGGTAAAATGGAAAGAGAGAGATTTGTTTTCTCTTGATGAAGAAAAAGATTGTTTTCTCTTGATGACATAATCAGTCCTTTCACTCCTCCACTGCCTCGTCCCGCCCACCCTGAAAATGTTGTAAATCACAATATAGTATCTTTTTCATCTTAAGATCTTTATTTAGACATTTTCTTAAATTACTCTTTTCCAATAGTTATTACATTAGGATTTAAATGCAACCTGACAATCAGGGAATTTAGGTGGTAATGAAACATTGTTATTTGGTAAGGTAGTGTTAACTTACTTGCCATGTTAAAAGTCCATAAACATAAGAAATGAAGGATGTTCTAATAATTTTAAATAATACATCTTTTGTTTCAAATAATGTTTAAAAATGGCTTTGAAAGTTTTGGAAGTGTTGTGGCCAAATTAAAGGGTGCAGGCAGTGTTAGCATTACTACTTTATCTAACCTCTCCTCCATACTAAAGCCCTTCTATAACACAAGTATGTTTGAAAATGTACCTTTTGAGAAGTTTTGTTTGTGTACATCTTTATTTAAGATTACACAGAAAACATAATTTTTAGTGGGCATGAAATATGCAGAATGCTAACAGACTATTTGTGATGCACTTAAATCTCAAGTAAAATCTTAAATTGCTGAAAGAAGATATTTTTTCTGTTAAAAAAAGTTAAACTAAGGACCCAGTCATGTTGAACACCTTTAATTTCTTGGTTTTCAGTGGCACTTGATATCTCTCTCATATTCATCGGTTGCTCTTTTTTTTCTATATGAAAACCTATGTACTGCAGCATGTTAAAATATTTTCTTAACTAGATCAGCTGCTTGTTTCTTGAGGTGCACAGTCTTTTTCAGAAGACACACAAGCCAGACCAAATTAATGAAAAGGAACTGTTCTTCTTGGGCAATGTTTCCCCTTTGTCTTCAAGATTTCAGAAATCTCATTTTCAGTAGGACATTCAGGCTTTTAATTAATTTGTGTGGAAATGACCATAAAAAGAAGTCACGTTATCGAGTAAATCTACTATCACAATTGTTTCAGTCGTAGCACTTTTAGAGCTGGAAAGAGTGGAATTTATGCGTGTTTTATTATATAACTAGAATGAACACAGTGACTGCTATAATTTCATTTATTTTCAAGAAAAAAGGAAGATATTAGACCTTAACTTTTGGTGTAGTGTGATGGATTTATGCTGCACTGCTGTCACATTCTGGACCATCAAGCCAGCTTAACTAGTCTGGCAAAGACCATCCTAGGCTGCAGATTAACAGTAGTGGAGGTTAGGGGGAAGTTAGCTTGCTTTAAAAATGGTTGGGTTCAAACCTTACACTTGGATCCTTAGTTAGGTTGATTTAAATGTGAACTGTACAAAAATTTCAGGAAGGCTAGATCAATACAAAAATGTGTGACCAGATCTAAGTTAACCCCACCTCCAAGGCAGTCTAACTTAGATCAGGTTGGCCATTTTTGTGGAATCAGTGACTGAAATTATGGCTGAAAATATAATCTCAGTAACATATGAATCTCTAATTTACAGTTTCAATTTATAGTTCAGTATCTCGGGGCCTTGTTACACCTTACTCTGTGAGCTGCACAGATTTTGATCATTGTTAGTGCTAGCTTGGAAATTGGAGCAGTCGCACTTTTAGTCTAGAAATCTTCTCTGACTGTCCCCCACTTGCACAGCCGTGACTTGCCACTAGAGGTCTGGCGAGCAGGGGCAGGACTAGGGGGCTATAGCTGTGAGTTGCCACTAGAGGGCTGGTGAGCCAGGACAGGCATCTACCCCTGCTCTACAGCTAGGGGTGTGAGAGTCCTGGGATATTGGAGGACTTCAGTTTAGGTGACACGCCTATGGAGAATGGCCAGACCTTAATGGAGCAGAAACTGGTGTAGTGCGGACCAGAGAGAATCCTGCCCTGGAGTGGCTTCACTTTGAGTACTTAAAGTGCACTACTTAATGAGTGCTTAAAGCCACTTTATTGTGTTAATGTGTGGACAGTCCAGAGGTTAAGAGCTCCAGGAGCTTCCCAAAATTACTGTGTAACAAGGCCCTCAGTGGGTGTCATAATGTGCTGCTTCTAGCACCATGGGGGGCTTGTTCTCTCATTGGCCTCAAAGGAAACACAGGATTTCTGAGTGTTTGAAAGATTTATATATTGCAGAAATTTGAACTGGGAAACAGTTTGAGTGTAAAGCCTCATTTTCAAGGAAAATGTCCTTGACTGTATGGTTCTTTTACTTAGGTTAAACAGTGTCTATTAATCCATTTGCAGAAGAGGTTGGTATTGATTAGTTTTAAGTGTTTCCCTTCTCTTGTTCTCTTGGTCGAAAGGATGAAAGCTTAATTTTGCATATAAAATCCTGTCTTGTATTTGCTGCCCTGATACAGATGCACGCACTTACACTGTGCTTTATTAGCTTTTATTTTTTCCATTAGAGAACTAATGAGAAGGTTTTAAGGTTCTGAACTGTATCCTGGCTCAGCTCATCTTTTGCTTTGAGAAGGTTGTGATAATCTTTGATTTATGACGAAAGTAACCTTTCTGTTCCGAGTAATTTGCCAGGACCTGGCCTAGTAGTAAACCTAAAAATGTAAGGCAAACAAATGTTTCTCTGAAGTAGTTGCATGTAAATTGTCAGGCTCATGTCAGATTTAGGTTTGGCGGGATTTCGAGCAGTAATACATTTTAATTCACTGTTAAAGTACTTGTCCAAATTGTCCCCGAGTTCAAAACAGGAGGTTAAATGTGTGTGCACCTATGTCAGACATAACATTCATATTTTTCATACAGTGCTTTGTTTAAGAATGGTAATTAGAATACAAGGCTGTTTCAAGCTGTACCTCAAGTATTCAGGAGCGAAAATGGGACCATGTGTGTTTATTACAGCAAGAAAGCTGGCATGTGAATATGCAATTTCCAGGGTTAGATGGGAAAGAAGGTTCTGACTCTCCTGATCATTATCCTCAAATTGGTGAGGTTTTAAGCCTTTTAATAGACCTGTAGGTTGCGTCTCAAATGGAGAGTGAGGAAGAACAGTATCTTGCTTAACCACAGTTGTCAGAGCTACTTGATATTGATTAGTAGTAACACTTTTCTAGAAGACATTCTTTACGGGTTAGCCTAGAGAAAAGGATAGTGGTTTGGCTGGAAAAAGTCGGAAGAAATGTACTGCTAAGGAGTTTAAAAATGTAATAGTATGACATTCAAAATGTATATCAAGGTAAATTTGTTAGCTGTCTTCTATCCAACGTGCACCTGATCACCCTACCTCTTTCCCAGTAACTGATGCTTATAGGTAGGGACCTACCAAAATCAAGGAGGCAGGTGGCCAGTTTCCTAGGCAGATAGTGGGGCTGGCCACCCATTTTCATGGGCTTATCATGGCAGGGTCTTCCCCCCCACCCACATACACTCTTCTTACTGGCCAAGGGGCCCTGGTGGCCCTGCCTCCATGCTGCTGATTGATTGAGAAGGCTGTCCATCATGCAGCTCCACCCCTCGCTACTGATTGGTGGAGAGGGGTGGGGCTGCATAATAGGCAGCCCTCAGCCAATCAGCAGTGATGTGTGGGGGCTGCAGCCATCTTGGCTGCTCCCCTTAGTTCCAGCAGCCCCCACCCTTCCCCCTGGTAGGCTGTGTAGCCAGGCTGCAGTGCCTTTAAGAACTCCCATTGGGGAACCAGCATTTTATTTTTAGTAATTTTTTTGTGCATTTTGTGGACATTGATTTCATGGACAAAGCCTGATTTTGTGATCTTTATGAAACTGCAAATTGAGTAGGTCCCTATTTGTAGGCTCTGGTATCTGAGGCAGATTTGTATATGGGGCTCAGTATGGTCTTGTAAAAAAAAATAAGTCCTGGTGAATAGGAAGTGTGAGTCTTATACCAGTAAGGGATAAATCTGTTAGGAAATCCAAGCCAGTAGTATACCACAGGACCAATTTGTTAAGTTTAAGCAATATTCCCATGAAGTATATAATAAAATTGGGTATGCTTTCCTGTTTAGTTTCAGGGACATTTTCTCATTTATGTCTGTGCACAGAAGGTAGGAACTTGTTAATTAAAGTTGCAGAAAAATGTTGGTGGAGGACTGGAAATTATACAAGAATTATTGGCTGGCTTTGAGAACCAGTTATAGAAATAGGATGAAATTTAATAATATAAATTGCAAGATTTACGGTTTTATAAGAAATTTTGGCATACAGTGGAGGCTTATGACATGGAAAAGACAGAGGTCTAGAAAAACTTAGTTGCATTACTTAATCATAAGATGATTGCGAGCCACCAATGTGATGTAGCCATGAAAAAGCCAATGTAATCCTAGGATGTACCAAAGAAGGTATTCTCATACAGATAAGGAAATATTAGTATCATTGCACAGAGCCCTGTTAGACCTCATTTGGAACTGAACACAATTCTCTGGTTAATCATGTTGAAGAAAAATGACTTCAAAATGAGACAGGTGCAGAGAAGGGCAGCTAGGATGATCAGGGGAATGGAAAGCCGGTTTTATGAAAAGACATTAAAAGAACTTGGTTTATTTAATCTAGCAGAATGTAGCTTGAGAGGAAATGTGATTCTTGTGTATAAATATGTTATTGAGGTAAATATCGCTGGGGGAGAAAAGATACTTAAGTTGGAGGACAATGTGAGCAAAAGAACAACTGGGTAAAAACTATACATCAGAGGTGTAAAATTGTGGAACAGTCTTCCAGTATTGAGGGCATACGTTTTAGCTAGTTTTCAGAGAGCACTGGATAAGTTTCTGACGGGGA